CATGTTGAAGTAGACATTATCACAAATTAAAAACTTATGGTAAAATAAATTTTTATAAACAAAGATGATAAATACACCACATCAATCCCCAGTTAGTTTGCTCCGTTTTACTGTTAAAATGTTCTGGGTGTAACATCTGTTTTGTCTGTGTGGTGGAGGTCATGTAGAAAGCTGTGCAGCAGCAGATCTCTTCCCAACCCTGCCCTCTTGGGCTGTGGGTGGCTCAGAATCAGTCGCGAAGGCAGTATTTGCACTAGGAAAATGGACCAACACCAACAAGTGGGCTCCAGTTTCTCTCTCTAGAGAGACAGCTGTTAAACATGTACCTGCATACAACTGAATTCGATACATATACATAAATATGCAGAAATCACAGGTATAATTCCTATGCTCAACAACATTCCTAAAGTGAACATATCTCTTCAGTCAGCACACAGGGTACATGACAGACAATTACTAGCACTTTAGCAGCCCCCTACACTGACCACCCCACCAAGGCTAATCATAGTACTAAGATCCCAGTATGATTCTCTTATCTACAGAAGGCTTTTTCCAAGCCCTCATGTCCATAGCTGCCCCCGCCCCTACATTTTGCTGTTAAGTTTCTAGGTATTTATTTTGTCACTATCATGTTTTAAGTATTTTAAAATTATATTAGGAGTACAACATCCAAGGAAAAATATGCGAAAATACACATATGAAAAATATCCCTTGAGACAGTCACCTCATTTTGATTCCACAGGAATAGGACAGGTAGAGAGAATCTGAACATATGTGATCTGATGCTAGGCCCAAAGTCCTAATCGGAGAGATGAGGACACAGCAAGGACTTTATGAGCCATGAAAATGACTGAGGGTCTGAAAAAGACTGCGCCACTGAGGAGCACAGAACACCACCATCTTTGGCCCTCAAGAAGCACATACTCTGCAGTGGGAGGCAGAGGCTAGAGGCAGGGAGGCCTCTCTGAAGCTCTTGATGATCGAGAGTGATGTGGAGGTGATAGTGGCCAGAGATGAAGCACATCTTTCTGAAGACCTCTCTTAGCAGCTAAAAGCATGGGCTCTGGAGCCAGGCATACTTGTGTCTGAGGTTTATCTCTGAAATTCTGTGACCTTGGACCAATTAGTTAACATCTCTGAGAAATGGTTAACCTTCATAGGAAATGGAAATAATGATAGCACTAGCTTCGGTGGTGGTTGGAATTAGCAACTAACCTACGAGAAGTACTTAGTTCAGTGCAAACACTCAGTAGACATTAAATCCTACAGATGCAACATCTGCTTGACCTAAAAAAGGGGAGGAGAATTCCCTAAACAGTTGTACTGCCTTTCCAACAGTCTGCATTTTTTTTGCTGTTGTTTTATTCTTTCGGTCTTTCGATGGCTTCTGTGAGCAGAATCATATATTTAAGAAGTTCTTTGGGGATTCAAAGGGAAACGGACACACATGGTGCCTGCCACATTGCAATATTTTTGCCCTTTTGAGCCTGGAAGGAAGCACAGAGCTGAGAAGGCCAGAGACAAAAGCCAATCTCACTGTATTTTCAGGACAGCCTTCATGAGGAAATCAGGCATGTTTGCAGAGAGAGCAGCTCAGGCTCTCTCTTCCAGTGCTGCAGGGAGGCAAGAGCCAGGAATGAAGTCTATGTAGGGCAGACAGATGAGCTAAGCCTTCCACATGGACAAAGTTCAGACCCCCCAGTGATGGTCTGGCCAACTTGGGCCCTCTTGATTTGAGTGCAACATTTCCCATATCCTCTTTAGTGAGAAGATTCTGGCTTTTTCAATATGGAACCTCCCAGTTCTCACTGTCAGGGTATGAAGAGATCTGGAGATCTAGATTATAGGAGCCATTGTCCAAGATCCTTGTGAGTTTCCTAAACCTGTGTGCTATAGTTTCTTCATAGGGTAAATAGACCAAATAAACCATCCACTATCCAATGGTGGTATAAGTACACAAGATAGCTACATGCTTTCATGTCCAGTTCCTGGTAAACAGCAGGAACTCCTTACAGGCTGGAGATTCTTCTGTAGATCCCTATCTCTTCCTCCTTAATCTCTCCTTCCTTTCTGTTGCTGGGGTCACTTTATTGCACCCATAAGCAATGCCCAGTACAGCTGCAACTGTCCCAAAACTCCATCAGACTTCCTACTGCTTGGCATTAGCTTTTCAGAGAATAGAGTATTTACTTTTTTTTTTGGGGGGGGATTCACATTTTAGATAAGCTACTTGCCTCATATTGATTCATTTTTCTTTTAATGTGGCCTTGGTGGTGGCCCCCAAAGGGCCAAGTCTGTGTGATGGGAACCCATTCCTCCACCATGGTAGAAAGAGCTCAGCGTGGGTCAGGTGTTACCCAGTACAGGACTGATAAGCCATGGAGGAGGAGGGGTCAGGTACCAACATGGTGGGTCTCTTGGGCTCCAGCAGTGCAGAAGGTGGATTCTAGCAGTAGTGAGTAGGGCTGACGATATACTGAAGATAATGACAATGACTAAAATAGAAAAATGCCTCATTTCCCATCACTCACCAGAGAACAACTGTTAATAGTTTGTGTTTCTTAACATTTTGCCTTGTGAATTTATCTGTCAAAATAAATGGAATTATTATAATATGGACTTTATAATATATTATATATTCTGGTTTGAAGCATATCCCCTGCAAAATACATAATACGTGGAAATGTAGACACTGTAATGCAGGGTTTGTGGGGGACTGGAGTTAAGTTGTGTGATGGTGAGTGTGAAAACCAGTGGTTTGCATTAGTTCATTTTTATCATTCTTCAGTCCCCGTCTCACCTGCCGCCCTCATGCAGCCTTCCTAGTCTCTCCAACATACGAGAAGCTTTCCTCGGATTCTTTATTAGTGTTGGGGACCATGGCTTCAAGACAGAGCCAAGATGTAGGAGGCTAGTAAATTCCAGTGCATCCATAGCACTGTGCAAACAATTAAACACTTGCAAGATAACCAATTCTTCTTTCCTCCCTTCCTTCCTCCATCTCTCTATCCTTCTTTCCTTCCCTCTCTCCAGCTAGCAGCAGCCCACAGAAACCAGCTCCTTCTTGACCAGATCCCTACCTTCTGCTGTGCCCACCTAGGGACTTGCAGTACTGCTCTACCCATGAGCCCCATGCTGTCGCGAGCTGCAACGTCAGAATCCTGCCAGCAGGTCCCAGACCCGAGGGAAGAACAACAGGACAGCAGACAGTCTCACAGACTTAGTTCCAGGATCATGCTTTCTTCGTAGCAAGGCCCCGTTTATTTTTCAGGGTGGAGTATATATAGGCTAAAACCGAAACCAAAAGTGTGAATAGGGTGTAGCTGACTGCAAAGGTCACAATGCTCTACAAAACAAGTATTATGGGTTACATTTGCTAGGCAACAGGTCAGACCACCAGTTGAACTAGCCCGTTGTTATGGGTGATGGCACATCTGTGCCAGCGAGGTGACTCAAAGTTCAATCATGGCTGTGCTTATGTCAAGGCTCACCACACCATGCTACCAGGAACTCCCTGCATGCACAGTTTCTGGCTAGAGCTGGCAGGGTCTTTATATTGTGAGGAGCCCAGTAGCCTCCCCTTTGGTTCCTCATACCCACTAAATTCTGGTCCAAGAAGAATGGAGACTTGAGGGAGTGGACTGTGGTTTTAAATCACCAGCTCCCTTCCAGGCTGATTTGAGCTCTTTGAGCCCCTTCAAGGTCCTTTCTTTACCCAGCCTGGAGGGAGGAGTGGGGTTGAGGAGCAGGCAGTGAGATTATCAGTGGAGAGGGTGGGGTTTCAGGGTCTGTTTGGGCAAATGTGGTGGCAGTGTGATCTATTGTGACAAAAAGCCTGGTCTGGGCTTCAGGGATGTGCACTTTAACTCTGCCTGTGAACTTATTGTCCCATTTGTGAAGTTTATTTCCCTCTGAGCCTCAGGCTTCCTCCCTGCACAGCCAGGGCACAGTATATTCTGAGTTTCCTGAGGCGTTTCCTGGTCTGGCACTGTCCTTTCCTTGTTCTTCCTTCAGCCATCACTACATCTGCCAGGAGGAGTCTTGCTGTGAAAAGGGATTCCCCAGGAAAGGATCTGTCAGTCCCAACTTTTTCTTGGTTCTCATGAGTTTTACTCCTATGTTAAGTCTCGGGTTCTCCATTGCTAGGGGCTCTGAAGAAGGGTTTCAGCCATGGAGTCAGTGGATCTGAATGACTCCTAGCTTGTGCCCTTGATCATCTAGCTACACAATCCCCAGGCCTCAGTATTCTCACCTGCAAAATGGAAGTAAGGGCATCGATTGCATTGGAATATTTTGACAATGAAATGCAGTAAAGTAGGTTTGGTCATAATACAATATGCGATACCTAGTGAACCCATGATGGATGCTATTGTCATCATCATTACTACTGTTGTGTTTAGTTACTACCTCCCCTCTGTCGCTCTGTGATATAGAGATCCTCTCTATACATACCCAAGGAGGAGGGATTCCCAACTACAAGCCTTTCTTCAGCATTCATTGTGCCTGGGACCCCAGGGAATGCCAGGTACACGCTATTGTGGATTGCGCAACTCTGGGCCAGTGTCTGCCCCTAGAGCTCCTATTACTAGCACTAGTCACATGAGAAGCACAGGAGTCAGAGAGACCCGAGCATGGTATATGATTCAGGCAAGTCCCTCAATCACTCAACCTCAGTTTTCTCTTCTGTGTGACAAGAGTGGTCCTACCCTTTTAAGGGGCTGCGGAAGACTGAATTACCATGGAATAGCAATTAAGTTTGCATGCACTGTAAAGACTGGATATGCCTGACTCATGTTGGGTAGTTAGTCAGATAGGTCCCCCCCCCTCTCATACATACATACATACATAAAAACTGCCTCCTGTCCCACATGCCTCTAGCTCCAGGCTTTCCTTGACCCCTTGTTGAATCAACCAGGCAGCCAGAGACAAGATGTCACAAGGAAGGGCCACACGCTTCTGCACAAAGTTTGTGTGTGTGTGTGTTTTTTTTTTTTATTAAAAAGAAAATAAATCAAACAATACTTCCTAGGGTGTTCTGTGATAAAACATCACAGGCATGTAAAGTACCTACAAAATCAAGAAAGAAATATCCAGGGAGCTCCCTCACAGACCACAGACCCTGCGAGGGAGGCAGAGGATTTCCCTTGAGGATGTTGTTTCTCAGACAAACATCCGCTTCTCCAGAGCTATGGAGAAGGAAGTGCCCATTCTGCCTTGTTTCTCTTGGAAACCTCAGCCACTGCCAGTTCACTGGTCCATGACACACACAGAGGAAGCTGGCTGCGCTTTATGAGATTTTGCAGAAGGGCAGCATGGGGTGGGGCATTTAGGGTGCACCATGCCTCTCGCTGAACCTAGATTTGCTTAAGATCTGTGGGGAGCTGGAAAAGGGACACACTCCATCACACTTGCTGGATACACTATCCTACAGGGCACCTGGGCTGTACTTTCTAAATTAAACCTGCTGGCAAGTCACTTCCCTCCTTGAGTGGTAGCCACAAGAGTGGCTGTAGGGAAGTTGGGGCAAACAAAGAGAGACAATAAGACAGACCCCGGCTGGTGTTGGATTTTGAGAGACCACCAGAGGGCAGATGTTTTGACAAATCTGCCATAATCAGATTCTCACCCTGACATTCTTTAGCTGCTCTGCCAATCCTCCATCCCTACTTCTTTTGGTTCAATCTTTGGGGTTATCCAGGCCCAGATTTGACTTGTAGCTCTGGCATTTCCTAGATTTCATGACTCTAGAAAAGTTACTTAACTTCCTCAAGCTCTACTTCCCTTCTGTTAATGACGAGGTGCATGTGAATCTCACAGGGTAACTTCCCATAGTAAATGTGACCATATCTTTAAAAAGCCTACAACAGTACCCAGCACAGAAGAAGTGCTCAAAAAATTGCCACCCTTATCACTGCTATCCAGGCACCAGTATTACCAGTGCAAAGCAGGAAAATCTGTGTGGACTCAGTTGTGATGAACAGAAGGTTTGAACAATGTTCTGAATAAAATGCTTCTGTCGAGTCTCCTGCGTTAGGCTCAGGCAGTCCTCAGGTCCTGGATCACAGGGTGGTGTGGGGACTGGTCTGGGGGTTGCTTCTCTCTGGGTCCTGTCCGTGTGACCCAGGAGCTGTTGGGGTCCTAGACCTCTGTGCCCTCCCTGGGGTAGAGGATACTGTTGGTGTTGATGCTGTTGTAGAAGTGAGGGCTGAACTGGTTGAGGACAGAGCTCCCATAGCCAAGCGCATTTGTGGGCACCGAGTTGGCCCATTCGCTCCCACTTCCGTGGCCTGCGAGGTTGGTGAGTGGGGCGTAGGAGTTGAAACTCAGAGTGCCCTGGCCCATCTTGTCAGAGGGCTCAGGGCTGAGTCCTGGTGTTCCCACAGGGCGGCCCACTGGACTCGGCCCACTCGTGTAGGCTGTCATGGTAGAGAGGAAGCTGTTAAGGCATGGGGCGCCTGAAGGGGGTGGGGAGGACTGCTTCTCTGGGGAGCTGGAGGTGCCCGGTGAGCCACTGTCCAGGATGTCTTGAGACTCTGTGCTCTTGGGGCTGCCTACCAGGAGACTGCTCTCAGTTTTCTCTGAGGCCAAGGAGCCTGTGCTGGAGGAAACATCTGATTTCCTCTTCCTCTTCCTGCGGAAATTTCCATTGTCAAACATCTTCTCACAGTTGGGATCCAGAGTCCAGTAATTCCCTTTGCCTGCAACAAAATGTCAAGCAGGTAAGTACATGGAGAGATGGATAAAATGCCTCTTATGCCTCTTTTCTTCTCTTCCTCCACAAAGGTGATACATATGTGGAGAGAAGAATAAAAGTCTGGGACTGAGAAATGGAAGAATTCTATAAACCACCCAACCAAGGCACCATATCCATCTTCATTTAAGCATCCCCCAAGGAGTGGGTGTGTCCCGAGGAAAGATTGGCAGAGGCACTCAAGACTTACAGGGTAGGTCCCTTTCAGAAGGCTGAAGCCCTGAGGTGTAGGGATGTGGGAGTGTGGTGGGCAATGGGGAAGGCTTCCATTGCTGAGGTTAGAGAAAACTCAGGAAAAACTTCGGGACTGCCTGATAGTAATCTTGGAGGTGGAGTCTGAAGATGGGCTTGAGCCCTGGCTTTGCTCCTGACTACTAAAGGACTATGAGGGAATCGGTTTCCTGGTCAGACAAATAAGCCTATTGGACCTGTCTGTTCCTTCTCAGGCTCCCTGTGGGGAAGGACAGACATTAGAGGTGTAAGAGAACTGTGTAACTGCCATGCTCCTTGGGAGGGAAGACTGCACTTTTTCTGCTATCCTCTCTCAGCTGGTGGGTGAGAGCTGTTCTTGAATGGACACTTGCTGTCTTGCAGGGGACAGGCGGACCTGGCCATTGCTAATTTCAAACAGGGCAGAAGTAGGGTTCCTTTTTGCCATAGTCTGGCATCCTATGGCAAAAGAGCAATGGATTTTAATTCTGGGAAAAGGATTGATGAAGATTTACCACATTGGTCTCTGCAGGTCTCTGTACTTTAGACATTTGTCATTGCTAAGGAAAAGTTCACATTCTCTGGATTGGACCAGCTTTTAGGGTCAAGTGTCGTCTCTAGCACTTCTTTCTGTGTCTCCTGAGATAAGTAGGCTGTTCTGCCTCTCTATACTATTTTCCCTATCTGTGAAATGGATTCATAAAGGCACTCCTGTTGTGGAGACTAAAGGACGTTCTGAAGGTCAGGTGGGTGTTCGCCAAACGTCAGACTCTCTCCCCGGGTCAGATGCACTTGGGCTTGGTTTCCACCATTCTCACTGCCTAAAGTTTCCCCTTGCACTGGGTCCTGGGAATGCACATGAATCACAGCACTGACTGTAGCCCATAAGTATTAGTACTAAAAGCTTTGCATATAGCAACTCACCTCCACCACGAGCCTGCACGGTAGACTATTTAGAAGGTAACATCCTTATTCGTCAGATGAAGAAACTGAGGCTCAGAGATCTAACTGACCAAGGTCATTGGGACCCACTGAAACTCAAATCTTCCCCCAGGCCCGTGTTTTCCTCCACCTCCCTTCATCTCTGTCTCTGAGCAGCCTCCAGTCCTGGGGGAGGCTGGAGAAAGAACCACCAAAATCAGAACTTCCTAGAATGGGGTTTGGGGCAGGAATGAAATGAACCTGGCTTGGGAACCCAGCTCACTGAAGGATGTCCCACCCTTCCCTGGCAGCCCCTTACCTGGATCATCCTCATCTCGAGGAACCTTCTTGAAGCAGTCATTGAGGGACAGATTGTGGCGGATGGAGTTCTGCCAGCCGGCCTTGCTCTTGTTGTAGAAGGGGAAGTTGTCAGCCACATACTGGTAGATCTGGCTGAGGGTGAGGCGCTTGTCGGGTGCCCCGTGGATGGCCATGGCAATAAGAGCTGAGTAAGAGTAGGGGGGGCGCACCAGCTTCATCAGCTCCTCCTGGGAGGGGATGGGCAGCCAGCCCAGGTCACTGCCCCCCAGCCCTGACATGCTGGGCAACAGCTGCCTCTGCATGCCATAGGCCTGAGGCAGGAAGGGGCTGCTGTTGGTGCCTGGCAGGTAGGGCGGTGGAGTCATGGCTGACCCATTGAGCCAGAGGTAGGGGTTGGGGGTGGCCCCGAACTCGCCACCTCCCTCGAAGGAGGGGGGCCGCTGAGGGCTGGGCACACCCTGTGGGTGGAAGAAGTTCTCATAGTAAAGGTTCATCTCGGGGGGCTCCTGGCCAATGCTGGGGAACTGGGGACTGCAGCGAGGCGGGGAGGGTGCTGGGAGGTTGTAGGAGCTCATGCTGGGGCCGGGAGAAGCACAGCCACCTGCCTGGCTCCTGTGCCCTAGAGCTGCCCCTGACAGGTGCTCAGCAGGCCCCAGCCTCCAACTTATACCCTGAGGCTGTGCTGGGCAGCCCCACCCAGGGGAGGCCACCTGCCTGGAGGCCGGCCCTCCCTCTGTCCCCACCCCCGCCTCTGGTCCCCACTAATGACAGGCAGAGACAGGCTTCTGGGAGCTGATAGGAGAAAAAAAAAAAAAAAAAAAAAA